GCCCAAAATCGAAGCAAAAAATCGTATACATCTGATAAAGCAGTTTCGTAATGGAGCTATGGCTCCAGCCCAAAGCTCCGACCTCCGGAGCCTAGACGAATCTGTTTTTCCAGGCTCCGAGCGCCGGATTCCTGCTAAATGTTACTTTTACTCAGCTTCGGTTGCCGGAGCCGGAGCCAAGCCAAATATATAGTCTCAGAAGCTCCGGTCCGGAGCCGGCTCCGACCATGGAGCCTAATTTTAGCTCCGGACCGACGCTGGCTCCGGCCATGGAGCCACATTTTAGCTCCAGACCGACGCTGGCTCTTGCCATGGAGCCACATTTTAGCTGTAGACCGGAGCTAGCTCCGACTGCAGAACCTAATTTTAGCTCCGAGTTCGGAGCTAGCTACAACCTGGAGCCCAATCTGGGGCTCCGGGCCGGAGTTAGCTCCAACCGTTGAGCTAAATTTTAGCTCCGGGCCGAAGCTAGCCTCTACCTGGAGCCCGATCCGTGGCTCCGGCCCGGAGCTAGCTCCGACCGTGGAGCCTAATCTTGGCTCCAGGCCGGAGCTATCTGCGGCCTGGAGCTCGAGCCAGAGCTCCAGCCCGAAGCTAGCTCCAACCATGGAGCCTAATCTTGGTTCCGGGCCGGAGCTAGCTCCACCTGGGAGCCCGATTCGGAGCCTAGCTCCGGACCCCTGCCGTCAAGTTTAAATCAAAGGAGTTCAAAAACATCTGTCAAGAGGAGACAACTTTTTTAAGATCTCAAAATATTATTTCATGATTAAAGGAGGGGTATCGATAAGTGCCTTTTGTGGCCCCCTCCTAGAATCTGGAAATTTATGCGGGTTTTCCAAGTTGACTCAATGTAGTTTATGGAAATAATCATGATTTAGTCCCTAGGCCACTAAATACTTGTTAAACGGTTGCCTAAACATGGGTCTGCAGGCATATTTTAGCGAAAATTCGTGTTAGAGTCGTTAGAGAGGCGTATTAGAGTCAAAATTATTTTTTTGACTCTAATGCGTACCAGTACGAAAGTGAGGGGGGAGAGTGTTCAGCTCGGGCAGTTTGCATTGGAATATTAAGTTGAAGTCACGCCGAGAGATCTATACCGGTTTGGGCCTTTTTAGACCTCATCAGCAGATTACACTCGGCAGTGACGAATAATAATTTTGACTCTAATTTTAATTTTTGGAACTTCTTGGCTTTGTTTTCCCCGTGAAATGGTTTGAACCCAGCACCATTTCTCCACCTTGCTACATACAATTCGGGCCACTTCGAAGTGTTTTTTTTTTTCATTTCGATATTTGTAACCTCAAAAAATACCCTTCATTTTTAAAGGTATGTAGCCTACGCAGTTTTTCTTTTGTTTTGCTGGTGAGAGGTCGTCCCTAAATGAATCAGTGAGAGGAAAAATACACCAAATCGAAAGAATAAAACTAATCAAGACACGGTGACCTTTGTGAACATTGACTGTCTTTAATGAAGATTGAGCATTTTTGAGTTACCGAGTTGGTGTGTTTTCGTTCTCACTGATCCAAAGCGACACGAAATCGGAGTCGAGACTAAATGTTTCATGTTGCCTTCAATTTTGATGATACTTCAAGCACATCCAAGAAGCACGAATGGTGGTATCAAAGTGATAGTGATAGTATGTGTGACGACGGTATATTCATTCATCAGGTAGGCATGTAAAAATTGATATGACCAAAAATTAGGTATAACTAAACATAAAAATTTGTATGAAAGTTAATTCTCGCACAATTTTTGCATTTCTTGCGCTTTGGGTATACATACCCACCTATCAGGATTCATTCCATCTCAAAATAGTTAGTTAGCATTAGGTGAGATCTATTGTGCAAAATACAGCGACATTGATGAAAGTACATGTACATGTACAAGCTCATAATGTTGCAACGAACGGAGAAAATTGATTAGAAAATTCCATGCTTTTGAGATGAAATGCAAGTTTTACATGAAGTGAGGCACTCAGGAGCATCAAATACGTCCTATGATGAAGCCTTGCGTTTTGTGCACGGTTGCGTGGGTAATTATTACCACCAATATAGAGGAGTAAAAAAGTGTAATTAAGATGAAACAGTCACGTGCGTCATGCCACTACACAGAGGTAACCAACGGAGACAACAGCAGGTTCGACGGATAAGAGACGAGTCAACTACTGAACAATTTTTTCTGATATCGGTGACCAAACCAAAGTGCGAAACCACTTACGTTCATCGTGGAGTTTCAAAATTTCCGCTCCTACTTTATTTTTTAGAGACAAGCAAACTTTATTGCTTGGAATATATACAGAATATTCTGATAACAGAGAAGAAAAATCACCAAAGTTTTGAAGAAATTACGTTGACTATAGGTATCCAAAGAAAAAGTAAAGTATGACAGGAGGCCTCAGGGTCATTCCACGCCTAGGTAGTCCGGGGGGTATTTTTTTCCCCCTCCAAATGACCCAACGATATTTATTTTTGGACTCCTTAATACTCCTAGTTTTTGGAAATATATGTGGTTTACCTCAGTTTTGTTTTTTTTTTCTCGCAATTTTTACGTGTTTTGTAACCCCGTTGCTTAGCTTTATCCTACTGTAAAAAGAGTGACAGTTTGGTAGCAATATTTTCTGGTGTTCCCGCCAAAACCAAGTTGTAGGTTATACTTGCAGTTGTCAAGAAACTGATTCAATGTGCTCCTGCAAAGTTTCAATTTTTAAAAGTAATTACTGTATATTATATGTAACTTTTAGAACTTAGTGTACTGACTGTCACACCCGTTACGCGAAACATGGGTTTTTTAATGTAACTACTATTTCAATTCATGTCATTTTGAGATGCCAATTTTTTCCGTACGTCTTCAAGTCAAGTACAGCTTTGGAGTATTTTTTCCAAATTTTTATTTCAACAATTGATGGGCAAAAATGCGTAACGGGTGTGACACGTTACGGGTGTGACCAATGAGAAGAGGCTTCAATTATGCAGATGTTGCCTCACTTCTCACCATTTTTTCTATGGTTATCACAAGAAATACACTCATATGCATAATCAGAGGTTATGTATACATCTAATAAGAGAAAGATAGCCAACTTTTTTGTAATATTTCAGTATTTAAAGTGAATACACCTTATCTCAAAAGGACTTCAAATAGAACTCGTTGAACTCTCTCCGATTTGATTGAAATATTTTCACTTTACTATAGGCCCAGACCTACCGTGCCAGGGTTTTTTTTTTGGTTAATTTGGATCATGCGAGGTCCAGGACCGCGGGGACGAAAGGGGAATCCTGGGTTACCCGCAGAAAAGCCCTGGGACGGTAGGTCTAGGCCACCCTGTAGAAAAATTTAGTTTTGGCATGTTCTACATTAAAATGCGTCATATTGCAGATAGATTTACTGCTTAGGATTGCCTACAATAAGAGTATGAGAAGAAAAGTAAGTTTTTTAACTTTTAAACTCTCTCAAAAATGATGGACCTCAGAGAGACAATTTGTCACACCCGTGACACAGACGGTAGGTCTGGGCCACCTTGTAGAAAAATGTAGTTTTGGCATGTTCTACATTAAAATGCGTCGAACTGTTGATTGATTTACTGCTTAGGATTGCCTACAATAAGAGTATGAGAAGAAAAGTAAGTTTTTTAACTTTTAAACTCTCTCAAAAATGATGGACCTCAGAGAGACAATCTGTCACACCCGTTACGCAAACTTTCCCATTTTTCAAGGAAAGAAAAACAGATAATCGAAAACGGATCATCGGCAGTTGAAGCAAAAACCCTTGGCTTCATCATATAATTTAATTAGATTTTTACATTCATAAAATTCGCTGAGTTTCCACTTTACACTCACTGAGGAAAAACTCACTTCCAAAATCGGTCACACCCGTTACGCATGCCTTTTAATTTTTTCTGAGGAATGGAACAAAGTAAAAACAATTTCTGATAAACTGAAATGATCTATAAAAAAAGTTCTTTCTGCTGCTGCAGATCATTTTTTAATTAAACCCCAAGAAAGAGTTCAAATTCTTGTTTAAAGTTAAATTGTTGTCACACCCGTTACAATGGAATGACCCCCAACGTCTCAAACAGAGATACGCGGTTTCGTACCTCGATCTAGACCTCATTATGACGGGAGTTGCAAGGAAAACGTTTGAATATTGCTTTTTTTGCTGAGCTGCGGCAGTGTCACGGCAAATCGAAACTGCAAATTTGTTTCCCACATGTCGTTAATTGCACCTATATAAATGTAGGCCCATGTTGAAGACATCAATCTCACTCGATAGACACCAGGATCGATGAGAATGATAGTCTGAACGTTTTGCTGAAGGATCTTTAGTTCTGCAGTCCAGTTTCCGTCATGATTGCTGTCAAAATTTTGATGGTGGCAGGCCTTTTTATCATAGGTCCAGATTTGTGCCGTAAGTTATTTTTCCATTTATTAAGCTTTAAATTTGTAATACTCAACTGAGGGGCTTGGTGCGCAATTCGCTTCAGTGTAGTTCTTAAAAAGAATTGAGATTTTAATGATTTCAAGTGAAACTAGTCTTTACTAATATTCTGTGAAAAATTCGCTCCCAAAGGATGTGTCCCATTAAGGAGGGTATTTTGGCCCTAATTTCGGTCGAAAATTGAAACAGCTTAGAATAATGTCATGTATGGTCAAATCGACTCTTAATCATCTACCCTGTGAGAACTTGTCCTTAATTGAGTTGTCTTAATTTTCGACCAAAGTTAGGGTCAAAATACCCTCCTTAAATACACATCCTTTCCATTTTTAAGCATCAAAAAATCTGTTTGAACTTGCTTTTCGCTAAAAGGATCCATAAAATCTCGAGACATTAAACACGCATTTCTCGACATAGCAAATACTGCGCTTATACGCCATGTCCTCCAAGCCCCTTAATTCTAATACATCGTTCGTGTTAAAAACCACTATTTTATTCAATTGGCAACCAGTATTCTGACGTGCCAAGGAAAAATGCCGTATGAACCTTTATGCGTTGCCAAATTTCCTTTGATAAAACACGAATTTCCTGCTAAACTCATGAATATTTTTTTCTAATTTTTTAGATAATCTTGCTCGCAATTTCAACTGAAGTTCCTGAAAATTTCAAGGAAAAATACTCGTAAATGTCCTCAATTTTAGAACCTCAACGTTTTGTATAAACGGAGTTATAAGCGTTTAACATTTCCAAATTTTGTCCAACCTCTCCTATTGACTCCATTGTGTGCCGTTATAGTTTTTTTTTTTCAAATCCAATTAAAAGCACCTTACTATGGCACTATTAACCATTGCGAGCTTAATCTATTCAAAGAACTACAATTAATATAAAATTACTCACCGATCAGATCAGCAGTACGCAGCTCAATGCAGACGATTCTGAAAAAAGAAGCAAAAAAAAAGATTATTAGCTAAATCAAGGCACTGAAAATTCTTGCAAATGTAAAATTTTGTGCAGGGACGATTAGAAGTATAGTGAGGTACAGTTTGGTTGCTGGAAATGTACAACTGCACTGAGGAAAATTTGATTCACATTCACGAGAAACCGATTTCTTGATAGTTCTTCGTTTTGTTTAGGAAGACATTATTGTTGCATCCTGGATTCGATTCATTGCGCTAAAAGGGATGCAGAACGTTCTTAGCTTTCCCATTTTTAAAATTTGTTTTCACTTTATAAAAACCTCTTTTTCCTCAAAATTTCACAAAAAAGACTTTTCTATGCTGCCGTGCTGAGGAAAAACTCCGTATGAACCTTAAGGCGTTGCCAAATTTCCTTTGATAAAACACGAATTCTCTGCTAAACTTATGAATATTTTTTTCTAATTTTTTAGATAATTTTGCTCGCAATTTCAACTAAAGTTCCTGAAAATTTCAAGGAAAAATACTCGTAAATGTCCTCAATAAAAAACGTTTCATCGGAGGAAATTTGGCAACTCTCGAATGTTCATACGGCGTTCTTCCTTGGCACGGCAGTATTGATAAGCTTTAATAATCCTAACGTTTTTCCGTATGCTTACTCTGCTCTTTAATTCATTTTCCGCCTTGAGCTCAGTCAAAATACAAATTCTGACGGGCATTTTTATCATAAGTCCAGCTTTTGACTCCTCTAGAGTAAATTCCAACACGCTTTCCCCATCAATGAGGTGTATTGATTGGATATTATGTTTGTGATGACAGACATATTTTACTTGCGGGGCTGAGGAAAAATTACAAATTGTGGTCGTGGATTATATTTGAGTTTATTTTTTCATTTTGAGTTTATTTTTCGACTGAGAATGACTCAGTTTTAAGGCGGAACGTCTCAGGCTTTTAGTGTTGCATTTTAGCCTTATTTCCCGTTTCCGCCCTCGTTTCTCTCCTGTATAATATAGACATTCAATATGAGCAGAGGATAGAGAGTTGAGGAAATTCAGAGTGGACCCAAAAACTAGGCCTTTTGATACCACTCCTGTTAAGCACACAAGTTTTTCATTATACCGATCAATTTCAGAGCCCATGAAACCTCATACTTCAGTTGAAACCGGAACGAGATATCCAAGTCCATCTCCAAGTCTAGACCAACGCACCCATAAACACTCGTTATCTCCTCCAACTCAACTTCCTTCATCATCTCTAACAGGAGAGGGGACGAATCATAGAACATCGAAAGGATCACACGTGGTGCATACGGATAACCATAACCTGCATACAGGTAAAAAAAAAAAGAATTTCCAAACAATGTTCTGTTGGAGTGGTTATTTCTTACATAATCTGAGCCCAGAACAGCAAAAGTCGGATCAGTTCATAAGTCTGACCAAATAACCGAGAGGGTCTTTTGCGCGCAAGGGATAGAAAGAGCCGTGTGAATAAATACATCAAGCGTCAAATGACACCAAAATCACGTGAGCAAATTGTAAAAAACCTGAAATCCACTCCTTCGTGCACAATTTGCGCAGTTTAAGTCAGGCTTCTTCGATGACTGGCTATTGTGCTCCTGCATGTGTCAGGAATTTGCGATTCAAGTACTGATTCCACTGTAAAATTTCGCGAGGAACTCGATGTTTCCTCTGATTTTTCTGATATCAACTCCAAAGCTCAAAAAAGCTCTCAAAGTTGAGGGTGTGTAATTAAGAGGATACCCCAGTAGACGTTAGGAGTGTTCACCGGACCAGGGGACCCATTTCCCCCAATGGACCACTAGACAAGGTACGAATTTCAGCACTCTGATATATGATCCGTAACCAAAATTTCACGTAGAGCACGATGCGCACAATGAAAATTATCGAAATCAACTCCTCACAACGATATTTAATGATTCTTGATGCGTGAATTCAAACCACCCGCTCATGAAAACTCAATGCTCTACGTGATTCACATCGCGCGCTAAACGTTATCATGACAGTCTCTGCGCGATGTAAAAATCTGGCAACCTCAATCTTGACGCTTTGGCTCAGCTATAGCAAATTGCCTATAGTTCGAACAACACATGGTGGGAAATGAATATTGCTCTATTAAGAAACTTGCTGAGACCGTTGTCGTGCGCGATTTGACTCACGTAGAGCTTTGAGTTTCTTGTGAGCGGGCAGTTCAAATTCCTCGTAACCAATGTGAAATGAAAAGGTTAATATCTTCGTTAGGAGTTGGTTTCAGTAATTTTCGTTGCGCGAATCGTGTTTTACGTGAAATTTTGGTCAAGAAACATGTACCGGAATGCTTAAATTCGTACCTTGTCTAGTGATCCATTTGATTTGACTAATCCAAAGCCAAACTTCCATAATCGTATCCCTTTTCGGCATAGCGTTACGAATTCGTAACAAAGTGCACTTTAATTTTTTAAAAAATGAGTTTCACGCGAATGTTTCAGCGAGCAGCTGCTCATTATATATAATTTAAAATTTAAATTTTCAGCAAAATGAGGTTTAAGTCCTTCTGTGAAGGTTCATTGTGCATCTCTGATCGCAGCGGCAACATTCCGTCATATGGTATGATGTTACGAATTCGTGACAAGCGATAAAGCTGCATGTTCTTCTGTGGCATGATGGGCACGAATTCGTAACCAGTGTTTCTTTTTTGAACTTGAAAAAGCCATGAGAGAGGAATGGCTTCCGACTTCGGTATTGGCAAATCTGGAGTCGGTGGTCCTTCTTCCATACTATATCTGGCAATCTGCAAAGGCGGATCCAGCAATTTGGCAACACCGGATTTCCTCCATTCGAACCTACATTAAATAATCGATTCTGTTCGAGCACCTGGCCCCTCTAAGAATCGATACATTTCCATGTGTTTAAATGGAGAAAAGACAACGTTGCCAATTTGCTGATTCCGCCAATGGCAATCTGCGAGGCTCCCCAAGCGGAGCTAACCCAACAAACTCGGTGGGCATAGTAGAAATTCATACTTTTTTTTATCTTTTTGACAGTCTCACTCCCAGGGAATGGCGCAATGCCGAAACCTGAAATAGAGTCTGGTCTCAAATCGCCAAGAAAGGGAAGTGTTTCTCCGGAAAAAAGACCTTTATTGTCAAACGGGAAGACAGCAATTACAACAGGAGGAAAACCTTCGAAACACAGGTTTGGCTTCATAACAACAGGATTCACAGGTGAGCAACCGAAAATTTCAACTGAAAGTAGGGGGTTGCGCCCCCTCGCCGCTTTGCAGCCCAACCGCCAAACTCCCTTTCCCCAGGCGCATTGAGCCTGTGTGGAGGAAGCAATGGACCACTAGACAAGGGACGAATGTCAGCATTCTGATATATGTTCTTAACCAAAATTTCACGTAAAACACGATGCGCACAACGAAAATTGCCGAAATCAACTCCTTACGAAGATATTTAATAATTCTTGATGCGTGAGTTCAAACCAAAACCTGAAAACTCAACCTGAAAACTCAATGCTGTACCTACGTGATTCACATCGCGCGCTAAACGTTTATCATGACAGTCTGTGCGATATAAAAATCTGGCAACATCGATCTTGACACTTCGGCTCAGCTATAGAAAATTGCTTATAGTTTGAACAACACATGGTGGAGAATGAACATTGCTCGATAGAGAAGATTGCCGAAACCGTTGTAGTGTGCGATTTGACTCACGTAGAGCTTTCAGTTTCTTGAGAGCGAGCAGTCCAAATTTCTCGTAACCAATGTGGAATAAAAACGTTAGTATCTTTGTTAGAAGTTGGTTTCAGTAATTTTCGTTGCAGTTGTATTCTACGTGAAATTTTGGTTAGGAAACATGTATTAGAATCCTTTAACTCGTACCTTGTCTAGTGGTCCATTGAGCGTGTTCAACGGAAAGGGACCGGAAGGTGGAAGACCGGACATTCTTAGCTTGATACCCTCAGCATGGCAAGCTACCCTTACGATTTATATTAAAGAGAACTAGGGTGCTGTGGCCACTACACGGCCGCCAAGCACTGAAACAAACTACAGGTGAAAAAATTGTGGTACAACCATGTTCAAATTATTTCAGAGATGAATGGATCCGAAGGCCGACGGGTTCACGCGAATGAAAGGGTATTTGCCTCTGATTGCAACGTTATTCACCGCTTTTATGCTTTAATATTAATCATCATGGTTTTTGAAAAGCTACATACGGACAAGTTTTTCTGAAAAATCCCCACGAATTTTCCTAGACGATCTCAACAGTAAGCATCGAAAATTTCGGCGCGATGTTTTCGTGCATTTCATTTTCTTTTTACGTAACAAAAAAATAATATCATATCATCAGTTTCTAAGTTTTCTAAATTTTCCGAGTTTCTAAATCGTTACAATGAGGATACATATTTTCCTTTTATTTGTGATACACGGAAAAAATTGATTGCTGGTTTATCAATTGAATCGTTATAAAATATGTACGACGTGTTTCAAATGTGCATCTTACGATATTAGAAAGCTGATTCAACCACGGAAGTGCTTAAATTAGCATTTTCTCTATTGTAACATCTACATTGAAACAATTCGGGCACTTATCTTAACTACACAATTGTTAAAACAGCAACTTCATTTTTTCCGGGCAAATACTAGAGCAGAGAGTCAAGAATGATGACACGTAATCCTAGTTTAATGGTGGCTTCAGCGTCGCGCGAGCCAGGGAAGGAAACGCGGTGGAGTCATCTTTGCAGTGTGACCCACCCTCTATCCGGCCAGCGGCAATCCACAATAGCCTACACCCATGATCGAATAGTTTTCTCGTTACGCCTGCCGTTAATGAAATTAAATATCGACGCCTGCACGCGGAAAAAAAGATATTATCTCCGATTGCAACGTTGCAAATCTCATTTTTACTATTTATAATTTTTTTTAATGCTACACACAATTTTTAAGAGGCTTCCGAGTTTCCGGATTGGTTTAAAATAAAATCACAAAAAATTTCGACGCGATATTTTCGTTTGTTTTGTTACCTATTTACTAAACCAGAATTAATTTTACGTGTATCACGTTTCAGAATCGCTGCATCATTTAAACATCGTCCGAGTTTCTGAAACGTTGCAATTAAGATACCTATTTACTCTTTAATTGTGGAAAAAACCGGGCAAATACCGTCAAGAAGAAATGACGCGTGGTTCTAGTTTTGCAGCGATTTTAGCGTCGCACAAGCCAGGGAAGGGAGCGAGGTCGAGTGTCGAGTCAACTTCACAGTGTGATAGGCACTCCATCCAGCTACTGGCAATATGCCTACACCCGAGGTCGAATTGTTATCGCATTGCGTTTGGAGTCATGCGAGACGTATTCATGCAGTCTTGCAGGCGCTGACATGCGTTCACGCCAACCGCACTGTTGGGCGCAATGCGTGAAGTATTTCTCCAGTCTTGCAGGCGCTGATACGAGTGTAACAACGGCCGCACTGTGTTTGGCGCGGTTACTCAAACTTGTGTTAAGATAATCGCGGCATCAAATAATGGGGCTTTAATGGCCCATGATGTGTTTTGACGCCGTGCGAACACTCCAACGTTGCCTCGTTTCTCCAGTTAAAATATTTTTCCGAGGAAAGTTAGGAAAGTTCTTTATGTTTGCTCATTCAGATTGGATGAAAAATTAAACAAGGTCCGAATTTAAGCACGCTGATGCCGGTATCTCAACCAAAATTGTACGTAGAACACGACTCTTGCATTAAAAATTACTGAAATCAACTTCTAGCTAAGATATTAACGTTTTTATTGCACACTGGTCACGGGAACTTTACATTGCCCGGTAGAATGAAAAACAATGCCATAGGCGAGTCAAATTGCGCACTACAACGGCTTCAGCAGACTACTCGATCGAGCATAGTAGTTTCTTTTCCACACTATGTTGTTCAAAATGTGTACAGCTTGCTATAGCTCAGCGTCAAGATTGAGGTTACCATATTTTCATACTGCTGAAATTGTCATAGTGACATTTGGGGTGCAATTTAACGCAAGTAAATTATTCTTTTCCCTATGAGCGGAAATTATTAATTTATTCATAAAAAAACGTTATCACCATGGTTAGGAGTTAATCTAGGGTTAGCATTGGACGTCCCTAGACGTCAACCGATCAAAATTCTCGTTGCCTTTTGTCGTTTTACTTTCACCGCACGCTTTGTACTCGCAGGGATCTGCCGCTCTAGACCTAGAGCCCGCGGTGTACAAAATATTCCACCACTTCACAACGCGAGCCTGCAATCCTCGGATCAAAAGATAGTGTATATTTTCCTGCTTTTTGTTTACTCATCCTTCCAATTTTTCAAATGAGGAAGAAGCTAACTTCATAGCTTGAAATATATGAGGAATACTCTGAGGGAGAAGAAAAACTGAGATAGTTTTTTAAATAAAGTAAGTTGAGTAAAGCAGGAAGTCTGGTTCTCGTTGTGTAAGTAGTTTCTTTACGTAAAATTTTGCAGTACGATAATTATGTCAGATAATTTATGGACATCCCCAGATGGACTTTAGATAGATTCAGTTCTTTACTTTTGATCTCTTTTTCAGCCCGTAACCGTGCAAATGCTGATGGGAATGGAGAAGAGCCCTCAGAAAAAACGCCTTTATTATCTAAAGAATCGTGGGACTCAACAGGAAGTACAGACTCGACCTCGAGGCCGAAACTCCCTAAGGGGAAAGGGTGTAAGTAACCAGACAATCTTAAGTCGTGATAGCGAAGAGAGCAGTAAGTGCAATAATGAAATTTTGAGAACACGGGCTCAGCATCTGACCGGATAATTTTATTGAAAGAAGCCTCCGTTCTTTGTAAAATTGCCACTAATCGCCCGAAAGACTACTAGAAATCGTTTGGATGATTAAAAATCCACCGATTTAATTTCAATTACATAAAAAGGTTATATTTCATTTTCATGTTAGGCCAGTGTTTGGCAAGACAGCAGTAAGTGCTGTATTCTGCATACTTAGGTGGTTGCGTTTTGGACACACAACAAACGCATTTTCAGGTTAGAAATTGGCAGACGAGGGAAGCTCTGTACTTGAAAGCTCTGTATCAATGGGCTCTTTGGAGGAATAACGTCACTTACTGCTGTCTTGCCTGAAACTACGTCATTTTTTTTCGCACTCGCGGCTTTCTCATGTGTCTCGTTTTGATAAAATTAAGATGAATCTCGCTGCTTTAGCTATTTTGGTGATTCCATCTCAAAAAATTGTCTACGAATTTTGAAGTAAACTCGATTTCGAAAAATTGACACCTACTGCTCTTTTGCTATCACGGCAGTATCTACAGCCTTCGATGTAGCCCCATGCCCATGCAATGCAGATCGACGGCAGTGCTGCAGTGCTAAGAAAAAGCGCCGTATGAGCCTTTAGACGATGCCAAGTTTTCTCCGATAAAAACCGAATTTACACGGAAAATTCTTAAGTCAAAGTCAAAGGTCTTCCTTCTTCTTCACGGAAATTTTATTATCCGGTAGAAAATGAAATTGTAACTATTTTGAAACGTTCCGGGTTTTGTTTATTCTTTGTTCTTTATTTGCAGCCTTTTCCCCAAATTAAGTTGTTCTTTTATTATGTGTATTTTGGCTGATCAAGTTGTTTCTCATTTAATAATGCGAAGGTTGCCTCCAATAATTCGAAGGCTGCTTCCAATAATGCGAGGGCTGCCTCCAATATTATGAAGGCTGCCGCTGCCTCCAATAATGTGAAAGCGAATAACTTCCTACACCCCTGAATTGAATCATTGTTTTATTTATTCTTCAATTTTCCCTAATTTTCAGCTTCTGTAAGAACATTCAGGCCACCACCAGAGTTTCAACAGGACTCTACTGCCTCCAAACCTGAACTGCCCAAGCCTAAGTTGCCCGAGCCAGAGTTGCCAAAGTCTAAAGTGCCCAACCCTAAACTTCCCATGCCAAAATTGCAAAAGCAAGAAATCGCGGCAACCTCCATGGTAGATCACGGCCCAGATATGTCATCGGAGGGATCAGAAACGGACGAACTAACACCTGAGGAAATCGAGAAAGGTAAAGGGGGTCAGCGACCCTTCTCAGGGATCGTTTAGTTTTAAGGGTCGCAAAGTCACTAAAAGTCCTCATATTAGTTGCTTCGCCACAAAAGTTAAAGTGTCTTTAGGGGGTTATGGGGCTATCCCCACACCGTAACAGAGCACCCTGATTTTTTGAAGTGGTGTCGTGAAGAAAGAGAGAAAAAAGGTCGTTTTCATGGTTGTACCTTGTCTGCCGTGCTAAGGAAGAACGCCGTATGAACATTCGAGAGTTGCAAAATTTCCTACGATAAAATGTTTATTGTGGGGGAAAATTGCGAATATTTTTCCTTGAAATTTTCAGACGCTTTAGATCGAATTTCAGACAAAAGTATCTGAGAAATTGGCAGAAAAATATTCAAAAAATTTCCTGAAAATGAGTGATTTGCCAGAGGAAATTTGGCAAAGCCCGAAGGTTCATACGGAGTTTTTCCTTAGTACGGCAGTTGTACAGCCTCTTTCCTCGAGAGGATTCTTAATACAGCATCAAACAAAAGGACAATTTTAGCGAATCTCCATACTAAAATTCAACACTATAATCTCGGTAATAGCTCATGGTGACTGGGTGGGCGTACAAAATGGGGGGAATCGAAAATAAAGAATCGAAGAGACCCCTAAGAATTGAAAATATTACCATCTAGATCCCCGTAGAAATTCCGGACTGTGGGGAAAGACCCTCGTTGAGGATGATGAGCTCTCTTAATGTAGAGTCTTAAATGAAAACACCGTGTTCATATACTTATTGTTCGTATTTTCTAAAATTTTCATAATGGGTGCCTGAAAATGCGCCCGAACACAGTTAAAATTTCAAAAAAATGTCAGATCTACCCAATTTCAACAATTTGAAAGTTTTCTTTGCTGAGAGTAAAAAAATTGACGTAATGTGTTCCACACAGTGGTGATGGAAAGAATGCGTCATGGAAGCCTCAAAAAGCGCCCAAATGGAGTTAAAATTTCAAAAATTCTCGGAAGTGTGATACAGTCTGACTAGCCTCCTCGAACGGTAGCACGTGCCACGTGTTGTCTTGTTGGCTTAGGTAGGACAGTGAAAACGCCTTCATTCCTAGCACATGCAACACAAACAGCTGCCAAACACGATTAAGCTGTATGCAGGCCATAAGGTGCGATACTCCAAAAGAGTCACAGTGACTACCTCGTTCCTGACATTAAAATGATTTATGAGAGGATGCGAGTTGCTTTTGTCGCGTAGGCATAGCTTTAAAAAGGCAATTATTTTTAACCAGGGATGCCAACTTATACTTAAAAATGCTGCTACGGTAAATGGTCGTTGGCCACGTCGCGTCGTAGCGTGTGCCATTCTGCCATGCTATGGAAAAACGCCGTATGAGTCTTGAGGCGTCGCCAAATCTCCCACAAGGAATCTCGAATTTTCGGGAATATTTGTGAACTTTTGTCCTCCTTCGTGATTTGATCTAAAGTTTTTGAAAATTTCAAGGACAAATATGCATAACTGTCTGAGGAAATTAATATTTTCTGAGAGGCAATTTGGCAACATTCGAATGCTCATAAGGCGTTTTTCCTTAGCACGGCATAATTGGGTGGCAGACAACCATATTCTTTGTCAGTTCAGATTTAAGTGGTCAAAACTTGTGTCCCTTTGTCACAGAATGTCGTCGGGCTTTCGGAGCATATCGACGGTGTAAGTCGGCAATCACATAACTCGTTTGCGATGTCTGAAAATCTCCGCCTCTATGTTATTTTTTTAAAGGAGAACAAATTGACATCATTCCTTGAAGTTTTTGCAGAATTTTCTTCACAGAAAAGAAAAATCACCGCAGTTTTAGAGAATTGCCGTTGAGTAGTTTTCCGTTTAAAAATAAAGCATAACAGGAAGTCTGCGACGTCGCAAACCGAGTTATGTGATAGCCGACTTACACCGTCGATATGGCCGTTAGACCCTGGAACACCCGGAACTACAATGTCTGGCTTCAGGAACACAGTATGAACCATATTAGTTTCCCTATGCACGGTAAGTGTTTTTATAGATAGGTCAGAAATTGTAATTCCTAATCGCAAAAAGTGGTTGAATTATTCTGATCTTTCGGCCCTTAAGTATAGGGTGGCGTACAAAATAAGAAAGAAATGAAATATTGGAAATTTCAGTGAAATATTCCATGGAAGTTCCCGTGGCTGTGAAATATTTCATATTTTTCAGGGGCTAGAGTACGCAACCCGCACCCAAACACGCAAAAATAGAAGAAAGTCACAATTTTTACACTTTGCGAAACATGAAAAGGGACCGGTACTTTTAAATACCTCTCATAGATTTCTGAAATTTTATGCAATATTTCAAGAAATTTCGAGATTTCATTTTCCATGAAATACTGTCACTCTACCCTCAAGTCCTTGAGGTGATTCGATGGACGTCATATTTTGTATCAGAACGGCATGCGATATATCGCATCAATTTGTTCCTTTTTTTCATCTACTCGTCATTTTTCTCCAATTTTGAGATCGCAATTCTGTTGTCAGGAGACTAAAGTACTCACTTACCAATTTTAACAAAAAAATTAAACGTAATAAAGGCGTGGTTTTTTTAGAGAGAAAACATCGCACTCGAAACTGATATCGAAACTGCACTCGAATGCGATATTTTCTCTCTAAAAAAACCACGCCTTTATTACGTTGAATTTCTTTGTTTAAATTGGTATGAGAGTGCTTTAGTCTCCTGACAACAGAATTGCGATCTCAAAATTGGAGAAAAATGACGAGTAGCTGAAAAAATGGAACCAATTGATGCGATATATCGTATGCCTCTCTGACACAAAATATGGCGTCCATCGAATCACCTAAACCCGAGATACCCGGTCACGAGAATATTTTATCTTACTGATCAATTTCAGAGCAACAGAAGCAGTTTAGACGGGAATGCATCGAGGAATGCGCGAAAAAAGATGGATACATTAAAGTACCTGCAATGGTTGTCGGAGGTGGTGACAATATGGTCAAGACACATTTCCTCACGGGGAAAACAACAGACCGAGGCAAAGGCATGAGGCCAAAGTGTGAATGCGTTTACAACAGCGCGATAACTTGGTTCTTGAACCAGAGGGAAAAAGTAGCGAAGAAGGGGGATGCTTTCCAAAAAAAGTACGAGAGTAACCCAAAAAGGGCCGCGGAATGGTTGAAGAAGCAGGGTTTCGAAGTCCACTACTATCCTGCCAATTGACCACGTTCCAGTGATCGTCCATGGTAAAGGGGATCCTGGATTAAGAGGAGAAGCCGCCAACAACTCCAGCGGACTGATTATTGAAATTGATAGACAAAGCTATAGACAAAGAAGACATGGGGGGTATGGAGCGATCCTATCGGTTGAAATGTGTGGTTCTTATAGACTAAGGGAGAAAATGATAGACTAACTGTCGGGTTTCTCGTGGGTTGCCGTTAGTTAGTCTATTCCTGCTGCCTTTGTCCATTGTAACCACCAGCTTCCACCGATAGGTTCCTTCCATATAGCTTTTGTCATCTTTGTCTATGGCTTCGTCTATCAATTTCAATAATCGGCCCGTAGGTATGGCCTGGGGTAACTTTATAGAGAGAGTATGCTGCCGTGTTAAGGAAGGACGCCGTATGAGCCACCAGGCGTTGCCAAATTTCCCTAGTCAAATCACGGATTTTCAGGAAAATCTGTGGTTAAATCTCCTTCAATTTTTAACAGGATTTCGTTCGTAGTTTGATGTAAAAAGGCTGCGAATTTCAAGGAATAAAATTCACAACTTTCCTCAAAAATAGATATTTCATCGGAGGAAATTTGGCAACTCTCGAATGTTCATGCGGCGTTCTTATCCTTAGCACGGTAGTGTAGCAGTGCTCCCATTCAATGTCCGTCAAAAATTCCGGGATGCGGAACTTTTTTGTCCCAATTTCTCCCACTCCATGACCGTCAAAAATTCCGGAATTCCTTTTAGATTTTTCCAAAAGTTCCGAGAAAGCTACGGATAATGCAAAAGATCCGGTATATTTCGAAAATTTCAAAAGTTCGGGGACAAATTCAAGAAAAGCTCTAAAATTCGGATATTCAGTACCCCTGTACAGACCCTTCAGACCCCCCTGTGGACCCTTCAGACCCCCCCGTGGACCCTTCTGACCCCCCTGTGGACCCTCTTGGCCCTTTTGTGAATCCCAATTGACAATAAGCCGCTTTTTGAGCAACCAAGTCGCCCAAGTGTGAATATCCTGCGGGTTCTCCTTAAATGCCGACTGAAATTCGGAGAATTCGTCGGTATCCAACAAAAATCTGTTTGAGACCGCCGCGCGCCGTTGGCTCTGCACTTGCATATCTCCCTAAATCCGCTATCACTTATGACCCCAACCGCGATGGGTACAGTGCCGGTTCTGTTGTTGATGTCAACAACAGGTTGGGGCCATAGGGAGGAATTGAGAGGTCGAAGGGGAAAGGGGCTTACGACGGTGTAAGTCGGCACTCACATAACTCGGTTAGCGACGTCGCAAACTTTCAGTCACACCTACTTTATTTTTTAAGCGGAAAACTACTCAACGGCAATTCTTTGAAACTGCCATGATTTTTCTTCTCTGTGCGAAGAAAATTCTGCATAAATTTTAAGGAATGGTGTCAGTTTTTCTCCTTAAAAAAATAACATAGAGGCGGAGATTTCCCGACACCGCAAACGAGATATGTGATTGAGGACTTATGCCGTCGCTTTATTATTTGTCACTCTCCACCCTTTCATCAAAATGCAAACTTCGATTTGTGTACGGGGGTTTTCTTTCTTTTTCTCCTTTTCCCTTGTGCTGTTATTATTTCTTTGAAATTCACTCATCAGTTGTAGCAATCAGTTACACACGATTGGATATGCAACATTGCAAATTTCTTACATTTGAATTTTTCAACGGAAACTTTCGAACTTCATTTCCTGGAATTGTATCTGATTTTTCTTGTTTGTGTATTAAACCGAATTTTGATTTAAAACGGAAACTTTCATTTGTTCTCTTTGAAATAAGAAGTAACGTTCAGTGCTTATTTTTTCAAAGGAGGCCTTCCCTTATCCTAGGTAGCTATTACCATTAATGGACCACTAGACAAGGTACGAATTTAAGCAATCTGATATATGTTTCTTAACCAGAATTTCACGTAGAACACGATTCAAACAACGAAAATTACTACACAGCATTATTACACACAGTTTTCAAAGCCTTTCCATTTTCACAAGCGACCGATCGCAATCCACTCGGTCGCGAGGTCGAGAAGTTTTCGCACCCCTGAAATCCCTGAAAGTATGGCATTTACCACTACTACTACTACCACTACTAGTTTTACTACAAGTGACTGTAATGGCTTTGTTCGCTTTAATGGGTCACTAAACCATGAACGAATTTTGACTTGGGTATATAGTTTTCTGAAGGAAAATGACGCGTAGAACACGATGCGCACATTAAAAAGGCGAACAAGTAACTCAATAACCGAGAAATGCGCAGTTCAAATCGCTCAACTTAAACGCAAAAAGACGCCCCGGTTTCGCGCCGCGCCGAGTGATGTCATCCGGCACTAATCAGAAGCGGGCACGGGTTTCCACGACTTCCGTCAAATGTCTATCTACTCTTCGTATATGAAAACAATACTAAAGTCGAGATTATATCTTTTGAATTCACGACTTGAATCTGATTCATATGTTAGCTGTAATAAACGAGCAACAATTCTACATTGAAACACGTTTTATTTTAACAAACATCAGAAGAAAATGAGAGAAGATTGCGATATGACTATCGCAGTGTGTCAACACCGTCAGTTTCCCGTCATTCGGGTGCGTTTGAAATGTCTTGCAGTTTTTAGATTTTTCAAAAGCGGGTTTCCTCCGCGATTTCGGCTCCATAAAATTGCGGAAAAATCACCACGTTATCTACTCACATTGTACTTTCAGAATGTTCAATAAAATAAACAAGGTTTAGTGACCCATTCAATGATTAAGACAAAGACAAAGATTAGTCAATTTTTTCCGATTAGTTCGGGATGCAGATATTGTCGAAAAACTATTTCATCACTTCGACGGGGAAACTCGGACGAGTCTCGCGGCGAAAACGCGAATTTTTTTAACAGTTTTGTGAAAAAGTTAATAATGGACCACTAGACAAGGTACGAATTTAAGCATTCTGATACATGTTTTTTAACCAGAATTTCACGTAAAACATGATTCGCGCAACGAAAATTACTGAAACCAAATCCTAACGGAGATATTAATATTTTTATTTCACACTGGTTACGAGGAATTTGAACTGCCCGCTCACAAGGAACTCAAAGCTCTACGTGAGTCAAATGGCGCACTACAACCGTTTCAGCAAGCTTCTCAATCAAGCAGTGTTCATTTCCCACATGTGTTCTTCAAACTATAAGTAATTTGCTATAGCTGAGTCAAAGCGTCAAGACTGAGGTTGCCAGATTTTTATATCGCTGAGACGTTCATGATAACGTTTAGCGCGCGATGTGAATCCCGTAGAGCATTGAGAGTTTTCATGAGCGGGTGGTTTCAATTCACGCACCAAGAATCATTAAATATCTTCGGAAGGAGTTGATTTCGGTAATTTTCGTTGTGCGCATCGTGTTTTACATGAAATGTTAGTGAAGAATCATTTATCAGATTGCTTTAATTCGTACCTTGTCTAGTGGTCCATTACAACGTGATTTCCACGTAAATACCAGGCCCGCCACATCTCATCTCGGGCCCTGGTACCAGTTTTAAGGCCCAGGCCCCTAGCACAGAAGGGGTCCGGGGGCCTCCCCCGAGAAATTTTTAAACTTTTAAATCTACTTGGACGCATTTTGAAGCTCCCATGACGGAGATTTTCCATCAGTTTCTGCAGAATAATTACGCTTTTTTTTTTTAACTTTTAGCACAAAATACTTTCAGATTGTCGCATTCAAAACATCTGGAAATTTCTTTCGGAGGGGAGGGGGGCAGATTATACCATTTTCAATTCTAGGGGGGTCCAAGCCCCCCTGGACTCCCCTTTCGTACGTCTATGGCAAGGAAGTTGAGCCATTGAAGTCTAGTATGCCCAGACTAGAGAGTTTTAGCATCCGACGACGGGAGAAAATGAGACGCAGTTACTAAAAATATCAATCTATACTAAAAATCTTCACGGAAAAAACGAGTTTAGGGCTGGTACCTGCGCCGAAGGTCCCAGCCCTCACCGGGTAGGTAAAATTGCTTCACCTCCACCGCCATAGGAGCAGGCCCGGCGCGCGTAGAGCCCAAATCTACCTGCTTCAGGGTTCAGCCCTACCTGGTAAGAGCTAGATCCTGTCCAGGTAGGGCTGGGCCTTACCCGCTCAGGGCCTGCCTCTGTGGCGGTGGAGGTGAAGCAATTCTAGGGCCCAGCCCTAATCTCGTTTTTTCAGTGTTGAAAACAGATAGAAATCTTTAAAGAAGTAAGAAAAATTCTACAGTGCCCCAGCGTGTTGTTGAAAATTTATTCACCTTGTGCGAAATTTTTGGGGTAAATTTGTCAATTTTCCTTACGAGACAATAAGAGTTACATTTGAATTTGTAATGGTTCGTCACCAGTGGCACGGGCCCCGGAAGCAGAGACCCAGTATCCCCCCCCCCCTTGTGGCGGGTCTGGTAAATACTGTGGCAAACACAAACTTTTTTATGAATATTGAAAAGATATACAAATTAAATAATTATATAGCGTCAAAATCTCTGAAAAATACAATGATAACGTTAGGAGCGTAAAATTAATACAAGTCAGTAATCTGAGAGGCGAAAAGCTAAGATTTTCCCTCATTTCCGCGTGATACCACATCACATGCCTCCTCCGGAGTTCGAATAGTTGCGCGCTGGTTTTCCGCATTTACCGATGCAAGCATGATACCTACATTCATAACCATCAGTAATTTGATGTAGTAAAGAAGCTAGTATTTCCCTTAATTTTTGAGTGATACCACACCACATACCTACCCCGGCGTTCGGAAAGTTGTCTGCTTCTTTTCCGCTTGTAAAAGCGTGAGAAATCGCGCGATTTTCACCTCGGTATCGCGGGAGGAGCGCTACTTTTCAGAGGTTGTGGCAAAAAGAAATAACAAGAAATATGCGATAATCGCCGCAGTATCGCGGCAATTACAGGAGTTTTCGGATGGTAATGTAATTTTATCAAAACTTACGCCTAATTCTCCTCAATATCAAGACAAGTACGCAAATTTTTGAGCAGTCGATTTAGAACAAATAAGATCACATAATTTTCACCTTAATAGCGCGGAAAATAAGATTTTATTCATACTGCATTACATCGATTCGAGCATAATATTAATAATCATCAGTAAGTAGAGATAAGAAAAATGCTGTTAGATTTCCTTCAATTCTGCGTGATACCACATACCTACCCCGGAGTTCGAATGGTTCCTCGCTTCATTTCGGCTGGTGAAAAAGTGAGGTATTGCGCGAATTTCATATTAATATCGCGATAAGTATTCTATATTCCTAGAGGATTTGTTCAATCCTAAGATATGACGTGATTTTCTTCTTGGTATCGCGCGAGATATTCGTATCGATTTTAGAAAGAATGAGAAATTACGCGATAATCACCGTGAAATTGCGGCAAATACGCGATTGTTTCAGCGATTTTTTAACTTTGTTAAAAATCATGCGTTATTCTCCTCGATGTCGTGGCGGGTCGCATATCCTACACCGGTTGATGAATATCATTAATGATCGCACAATAGTCATCTCAATCGCGGAAAATACGTGAATTTAAAATTGATGCTAGCAAAATTTTTATGAACGTAGTAAATTCAGATAGGGAAAAAGCTATGATTCTCCTTCAATGGACCACTAGACAAGGTACGAGTTAAAGGATTCTGATACATGTTTCTGAACCAGAATTTCACGTAGAACACGATTCGCGCAACGAAAATTACCGAAATCAATTCCTAACAAAGATATTAATGTTTTTATTTCACATTGGTCACGAGGAATTTGAACTGCCCGCTCATAAGAAACTCAAAGCTCTACGTGAGTCAAATCGTGCACTATGCAACGGTTTCAGCAAGCTTCTCAATCGAGTTATGTTCATTTTCCACCATGTGTTGTTCAAACTATAAGCAATTTGCTATAGCTGAGCCAAAGCGGCAAGACTGAGGTTGCCAGATTTTTATATCGCAGAGACTATCATGATAATGTTTAGCGTGCCATGTGAATCACGTAGAGCATTGAGTTTTAATGAGCGGGTGGTTTGAATTCACGCATCAGGAATCATTCAATATCTTTGTAAAGAGTTGATTTCGGTAATTTTTGCTGTGCGCATCGTGTTTTACGTGAAATTTTGATTGAGAAACATGTATCAAAATGCTGAAATGTGCACCGTGTCTAGTGGTCCATTGCTCAAGATACCACATACCTACTCCGGATCCGGAGTAACAGTTGCTCGCTTGAATTCCGCATGTTATTCCGCGAATTTCATCCCAATATCGCGAGAAGTACGAGATATTTGTACCGCATTCATAGAATTCTGGATAATTACGCGCTTTTCATATCAGTAATGGACAAAATGCAGTTTTTATCTAACAATATAATACAAAACGATTAGAAATTACGCGATGATCCCAGCAATATCGCGGCAAATATGAGATTGTTCCGGCGGTTTTTTAAAATGATAGAAAGTCACGCGTTATTGACCGCGATATCGTGACGGGGGCGCAAATTTTACAACGGTTGGTGGTGACCAATGATGATCACAAAATATTCATCTCAATCGCTGAAAATACGCGAATTCCATATCAATGCGAGCATAATTTTTATGAAAGTCGTAAATTCAGATAGTAGAAAAGCTATAACTCTCCTTCAATTTCTTGTGATACTACATGCCTACTCCGGAGTTCGAATAGTTTTTTGCTGGAATTCCGCGCGTTAAAAAATGAGAAATTCCGCGTGTTACGTCTCTACATCGCGACATGTCCGGTGGATTCTTTAAACCAAAGGAAAT